CCCTTATTGATCCAAGCTCAAAACTTGTAAAAAATGATGGAGAAATTGTTCAATTAGATTATGCAAGTGCTATTGGAAGTCTTATGTATGCAGTTCAATGCACAAGACCAGATATAGCCTATGCAATAAGTAAACTTAGTAGGTTTACTAGCAATCCAAGTAATGAACATTGGAAAGCAATTGGGAGAGTTCTCGGATACTTAAAGAAAACCAAGAACTTAGGTCTACAATATACTAAATTTCCAGCAATATTAGAATGATTTACTGATGCTAGTTGGATATCTAGCACGAATGAAAGTAAATCAACTATGGGTTGGGTGTTTATTCTAGGAGGAGGTGCAGTTTCTTGGAAGTCGAAGAAACAAACATGCATAACACATTCAACTATAGAATCTGAATTTGTAGCCCTATCAGATGCAGGAAAGGAGGCTGAATGGCTTAAAGACTTATTCTATGAGATACCTTTGGGATCAAAGAATATTTCTTCAATACCAATAATGTGTGATAGTCAAGCCACTTTAGCTAAAGCATACAATGATGTATATAACGGGAAGTCTAGACATATGAGTCTTAGACACAACTACATAAGGAAGTTAATCAAGGATGGAATAATTTCCCTAAATTATGTAAGGTCGAATGAAAATTTGGCGGATCCTCTAACTAAATCTCTAAATAGAGATTTAGTGGCATCTACTTCAAGTAGGATGGGATTGAAACTCCTTAACTGAAATATCCACCAATGATGGCAACCCTACCTGTCGTTACTCAAAAGGTTTTACACGGGTTCAAAGGATATCAACAAGTCATTTGATATGTGGATAGTTACAGCATTATTACAATCCGCAATAATCCTATCCTAGATTAATATAATGCTGGTTGTTACTGAAACGAGGGTTGAGCTATAAGCTCTTAATAAAGTTCAGTGTAAAACCACAAGTACTTCTAAAAGTAACAAAGGTACTGGAAGAACTTTACCTAAATAAACTTCAAGGTGGTGCCGCCTTAATAGAGAGTTGGAGTTCTCTCTTAAAAGTTTATTGAAAATGATAAGCGCAAGGCCATAAAAGCGCTAAGCGAGAAACGAGGAACTTGAGAACAAGTGATATTCTTGTGTGTGTTCTTACCGGTATTGTCACATGAAATACTTGGTTCAAAGCTTCACGCTACCTTGAATTTCGACTTTACTTTGTTTGAATTACATTATGGTTAGATTCAAATCGAAAGATATCTAATTCTTACGCATGAGTATCGTATAATTTGAATAATGAGAACTTGTTAATTTTGAACAAGTGGGGAATTGTTATGAAGTGGTATGATTGTTCAAAACCAACAATTAAAAAAAAAAAAATTAGGCTATGCGGTCGCATGGCCTAAAGCCATGCGACCGCATGGGTTTGTACCATGCGGTCGCATGGTACATAAAAACGACCGTTGGGTCGTTTTTTGTTGGTTTTTTTGTGGCTTTTCATCTATAAGGTGCACCACTTCGTAAAGCTATACTACTTGGCTATAAATAGGTGATCTTGGGTCATTGAAAAATATTGAAAAAACACTTATTATATTGATCCTTCTTGAGATCAAATCCAAAAAATAAAATACCCTCTCATATTCATCTTTTCTTTGTGTTCTTAAGTTTTAGAGATTTAAACAAGTGTTTAGTGTTTGAATCTCTATAAGGCTTGATTAATCCTTCAAACCTTTTACCGGATCACCCTTTAAACACCAAAATAGTGGGGGCAAAATTCGTTTGAGGACAACAATCAAAGATTATGTTTGAGCCTTCAAAGTTCTTCATATATACTTTGCCATTTGTTCATCTCCTATACTTCTTTCGATAATTTTTTCTATTTGTAATTCGTTTTCATCTTTGGTGGAGTAACATTATTTCCAACAAGGAGTCTATCATGTAGTAGCCACTAGGATCTTTTCTCAATATGCCAAGCACTATAGCAATCTATGAAGCCTGCGGCGTCTCAAAAGGTAACAATTACTGTGTAGCAAATGCATTAGAGATGAATGTCTCCAGAGCTTAAATGGTAGGAGTCAAAAAAATAAAAAAAACTATTGAACGACGACATCCAAATATAGAATGGTAATACTTAGAGGCCTTTGTTTTGGATACTGTTGAGACTTCAAATCAAAAGTTAATTTCCAAATCAACAAAAGTTAATTTCCAAATCAAAGAGTTCATGTTTTATAGATTTTCATTTATGTTCAAATGTATTTCCCTCATAATTTTCCCACAAATGATAATAAAAATAAAAATAAATAAATAAATAAAAATTTAAAAGTCCTCGCCTTCCCCGTGCCACCCAAATACAAATTAAGGACTATTACACACTGAATCCAAAAGAAACATAGATGAAATCATAAGATCGCAAATTACATCATAAACCCTAAATCACAACATCAAGGCTTAGATCTTTCAATCGAAGGCTCAGACCACACCCATAAACCATCACAGAGGCACCGAGACTCAAAACGAACCCTCACAACCCAAACACACCAAGGTCACTTCATTGGACTCAAGAAATCAAACTGCCTACCTTCGGTCGATCACTCACACAAAGGAGAATCACACAAGAACACGATTATCACAGAGATAATCAACCAGAAATCTCACAAAGAGAAGAAGGAAGGGTCACACAGACAAGAGGACTCGAAGGTTCCACACGGCAGAGAGAAAGGGAAAAACAGAAAATGACGATCCACAGGCCAAACAGGGAGTAAGGGTATTATTTATAGTAAGTATCATCAACCGTTGATCAGCGGGTCAATCCAACGGTCCAAGAGCGACTAATGGTGTGGGCTGAATATTGGGCTCGGTTAAGTGGGCCTTCTAGGTATATATTTAATGGACCAAGTAATAAATCCAATTTGGGCCTTTTCATCATTGCCTAACAGTTGGACTGGATCAAATGGCATCATAGCCCAACAAGGACAAAAAATGGAAGAAACATTGTTATCCTATTCTGTAATTTCACAAAATCAAGTTTCCAAGAATTCAAATATTTCAAATGAATGCACATGTAGCAAATAACAAATTATAAATCCATTAATTTTCCCCTCTGCATTGGCATTGTTTTTTTTTTTTCTCTTCACACCTCATCCTTGCAGCTTCAGAATCATTATCACTCGCGTATATGTCTAATTCCTGAGGTAAAACCCGATCATTCAGTAATTCTTGAAAGCTACCCATATCAAAATTATCCAATGAAATATCTAGTGCCCACAAAAAAATTAAAGAATAAGAAAGCATAAAAACCCCACCTTGCGTTTGAGGTTGTAGCGATGCCATTTGGATTTATAATGGGTCTTTTGGTCGGTCTCGTCCTGGAATTCCTTGTTGCAGGCGTTGCATGTTAACCCCGGCATCTTCTTTCGATAACAGAGGATTACAAATTATTGCGTATAATGTAAGAACTGATTTAATAGTGTTTAACACCATATATATAATATTAAGATCCTTGATAGAGTAGGAATATAATGCAAGAGTTTAATACAAGTGAAGTACCAATACAATGGTAAAAACTAATAATGAAATATTTGGGACATAATATGAGTAATAAATTGTCAAAAACGTGAAGAGAAACTAATTGCAACTTGAACTCCTTTAAAACTTCTTCAAATTTACTACCAACTTATAAGTTGAACTCCTACTTAAATTTTCAAATAGACTCCAAATAAATTTTTTTTTTGGTTGACCCACTTATTGCTATTTAAGTCATTTTTCTGGGTAGTAATGTATAAACTTTTCTTGACCTACTGCAAAGAGAATTCAAGATGGCTAGAATATTTACAATGCATTCCATGGATTGCAAAGAAAATCTCAATAAAAATATAAAATGTCTAATTTGTTAGATATTTTTCATCATTTTGCATGTGTTTAATTTTTTGTTTTACGAATGATTTGCCGCCCGGATTAGTGTTTGCCGCTGAGCAACGGGATTCGACCTGCTCGGTCAGGTCGTGGCGGTCGAGGGGGCAGCGCCCCCCGTGGGGGCTCGGGGGCAACCCCCCAAAAGAGAATTTTATTTTCAAAAGTTTTTGAATAGGTGCATCTGTTCATTTTTAACAGTCACTTCTAAGGGATACACCTATTCAAATAGTTGCCTCAGTGTCTATAAATTTTAGACGAATTCTTATTTGCAAATACATTAAACAATTTATTCTTCCTTCTTTCTCTTGGCATCAATCAGTTATTTTCGAATGTTTTCTTGGTTTAATCAAATAGTCACAATTTGAATCAAACGCCTCCATTGTATCCTGAGAGAGATTTTCTATCATACCCCAGTTGTGACTTTGTTGAATAGGGGAGAAATATCTCTTAAAAGATAACGTTTTTTCGTACCTTGGAGTTCATTAACGTATTCAGATTTCCCTACATTATTATCAACATAATTGAAGAGCAATTTTTAATTTGAGTGTTTGTTTGTTATATATATGAATGCGGAGCCGGTATAAGACACCAGCCAACTTAGAAGAAAATCATGTTTTAAAATTACTTTTATCCTTTTTTATAAGTTTATTAATAAAAAACATCACTATAATTTATATGTTTTGTGCAAAACGCTCGTATCCTGATATTTTGGCTCAGTACACCTTCGAATAAAGTAAACATTGTACAAAACAGTCACACCTTTCATTTCTCCATTAAATTCTTCTAAGCTCTCGTTTGTCACCCATTATTTGAAAAGTTAAGGAATTTTGAATAGTATTTTTGATAGAATATGTGGTTAAAAAGTAAAGAAATTTTATTGATTTCTATGTTGAATATTTTATTGTGTGAATGTGTGGTTGAAAATGATACTGTAGTAAACAATTTAAAATTTTAAGGAGAGAGAAACGGACATTAAAATAATTAATTTACCTTCGTCTTTAAATAAACAAAAAAGAAAAAATATATTTTTAATCATAATCTCAAAATTTTTAAAAAGTGCAAACGAATCTCAATTAAAACAATTAAAAAATAGAAGAAATTTGAAAAATCTTTTTTTAAACCATTAACCAAACCCACCTACCATTTAACCACGCAACTACCACCATCAATAGTCACGTGTTCTTGCCGGGAATATAATTTCGGTTGCGTCACGTGGTTGTTTTGCATAACGTTCGCTTGATTTGAGAGTGTATTGCATCAAAATGAAAGGATTTGGATGTTTTCGCAAAACATGTAATGGATACGGCATTTTGTGTCAATTATCTTTTTCTATAATATGTATTATTTTTTGTTAAATAAAAAAATAGCTCATCTTAACAACAACCCAGTCAATAAAGAGTGAAGCTAAATCTTGTAGACTCGTCAGTGACGTATGAATTAGATAATTTTGAATTTATGTTGATTATGAAGATTTGGTGTGATATTTTGTTTGTTGTCAGTACACTTATTATGAACTTTCAAAATGAAAAAAAAAAAGGTTGAACCCCAACCTTAGAGGCCCTCACGGACCTTGCCCTGAGCCATCGTGGAAGAGGTAAATCGCAGGATGTGCCTCCCAGGAGCCAGGGTGGAGAGCATATGGATAGGCCAAGGCTGTTAACCCATATGGTAACTCCCGCTTGCAACAAAGCCAATTTCACCTTACGGGGAATCGAACTCTGCACACTAACTTTCGAAATGAAACTATGCACACTGATGTTCCTATGGATATTAAAGAGTCATTTTCCTTGTATCACATTTTTTTTTTAAATTATAGAGAAATTTAACTTGCATCATTTAAGAAATACGATTGTGCTACATGCACATCATCACTTATAGATTGGTTACATATACATAATGTGGTGAAATATAATTGTGCTAGAATTTCTTCAACCAAATAAAAAAATAAATAAATGAAAAAAATCACTCTTTTCTTGAAACCTCATCTATCTGTCAAACTTTCTGTAACTCTTTATGCACAGTCAGCATTATTATGAGAAATAAAAGTGTCAATGAAAATTTTTCAAAAGGGAAAAGAATAGCCCAAGGGAAATTCTTCATTACATAGAATAAGTATATTGCATACATTGTTTATAGAATTATGTTAACAATTCGAGTTTCAATTGCTCATGCATAGAGGAGTTTTTCAAATTTTAATTCGATTAACTGTAACAATAAAGATTGAACCAATTTGATCTCTTATCGAGTGAACATGATTTTTCAAATAAGCTTGAACATAATAATCCAATCTCTAATTTTGCATCTTAAAAGGCGAGGAAAAGAAATTGAATAATGCTATTTACAGTCACTTATTATCGTAATCATCCTACGTGGTATATATGTGGCAATTAGTGATTTGTCGCATAAAGTAATAATAAAAAACTATCATATTAATATATCAAATCACTAACCATCATATGTATGTTGCATGGAACGATTACGACAGTGAATGACTGCAAATAGCATTACTCAAATAAATTTAATAGAGCTTTCTTTATTTAGGTGCAAGAGAACCAAGAATTAAGAGTTTTTCTTGTCCAGCTGACCTAAATTTTTTTTATTTTTTATTTTTTTGGTGTGTTTCAAGAGAAAAAATAGTTATCGTCGTTTATATTTTTGTAGACAGTAGTTAGTTGTTTAATTAATTTTTGAACCATATATATTGGATTCATAAAGAAATGTAGCTCATTCAAGGTTCAAGACAAAATTAGTGGGAAGCGCATCCATTTCTATTGAAGAACACCTATCTCTATGCATCAACGAATTTGGTGCAAAAATTCTCTCATTATGTTGTACCAAGATTGCCATCAATCTCATTGCTATCGAACTTGCAGTTTATCAAAGAAATTGAACAACGGGGTTATACCTTAGTATATGACTTGAAGCCTATCTTATACTTTTATTGCTTTCCTCTTCGATTAAGAAACAATATTTCCATGTACAAGAGGATTATTTATTTTCTTATCAAAAAATTCTTTAAAAGACTCAAAAATTTTCGTCTAAGGCCTTGAGCAGTTTTGTATCAAAGTTACATAGAAATCTTTCAATTTGCATATCACCTAGATAGCAATTTATAAAATACATTGAATGTTAGAAAAATGAAATGAAAAGGACAAGGCAATAACTCAATAAAAGCTGAAGAAAGAAACTGAATTCTAAGACATTTATTCATTAATCAAGAAGCTTTTCTATAGGCAGAATACCAACAGATAAAAGCAAAGAAATAGGAACCACTAGACCACTACTTCAACAGCTAAATGAAAATACACAACGCGCAAAAAAAAAAAAAAAAAAAAAAAAAGGAAAAAAAAAGGGAAAAAAGGAAACAAAATTTTAAAAGTTGGGTACCAAAGTACAAAATTAAAAAAGTTGGAGGACTTTATTTGCAAATTTTGGATGGCATGATTGATATGAAAGTCAAAACTTGATGACTAAATTGTACAAGATCAAAGTTGAAAGACTTGATATGCAATTATCTTGTGGACTTAGCTGCAAAATAAAACCAATTTTTGGTTTTTGGCAGAGACTTGGCGCCTAGACTCTGATATAAACTAGCAAATCACTACTGCACTGAGAAATAAATTCCTATGGGCTAGGACAATAATCGACAAACTTTATTAAACAAACATTGACTTGGTCAAACAAGACCAAATGACACAACAATCCCTCCCTTAAACTGAAAGTTTCAAACATTCAGTTTAATAAAACTCATCTAGTGCACACACTCCAAGCAGCTTCCTTAGCTTCTGAAACGTAGACAACTTCAATGGCTTGGTCATTATGTCAGCAACCTGATCTTCACTCTTGCAGTAGAAAAGATCAATAATTCCATCCGTTGTGAGATCCCTTAGAAAGTGAAACTTCACATCTATGTGCTTGCTTTTTCCATGTAGAATAGAATTTTTAGGGAGTTTGATGGCAGAACTATTGTCACAATAAATTGCAGTGCCTCCTTGTTTAAAGTGTAGTACATCAAGAATTTTTCTCAACCAAATAGCTTAACAAGCACAAGCTGTTGCAGCTACAAATTCTGCTTCGGTTGTTGATAACGTGATAATTGCTTGCTTCTTTGAAGACCATGATACAGCTCTTGATCCAAGCATGAAAACATATTCCGAAGTACTCTTCTGATCATCTAAATCTCCAACATAATCGTTTTCAGTAAAACCAAACAAATCTGAATTTTCTCCCTTCTTGTAGAACAGCCCAAATTCCATAGTACCTTGCTAGTACTGAAAAATCCTCTTGGCAGCTAGAAGATACATCTCTTTTGGACACTCCATGTACCTACTAATGAGACTTACAGCATGCATTATATTAGGCCTTGTGGCAGTCAAGTACATCAAGCTCCCAACAATTTGCTTGTGAAGAGTGTTGTCAACTCTCATTCCTTCAGAATCTTTAATGAGTTTCAAACCAACTTCAATTGGTGTGCTAGCAGAATTGCAATTCTTCATTTGGAACCTGCTTAGGATTTCTCGAACATACTTCGTTTGTGAAATAAAGATACCACCAGCAGATTGCACCACTTCAATGCCAAGAAAATAATGCATCTTTCCAAGATCAGACATATCAAATCCAATCATCATGGACTACTTAAATTTTTAAAACATGGCATTATCATTTCCAGTAAAAATCAAATCATCCACATATAAGCATACAATAAGCAACCTTTTTGGGTCTCCAATTTTTGTAAAAAGTGTATGCTCATTTTTGAAGACCTTCTTTCAAAAAATAAGCTTCTATACTATTATACCAAGTTCTTGGAGTTTGTTTTAATCCATATAATGCCTTTTTTAATTTATACACCTTATGCTCTTCTCCAAACTTCACATAACCGGGAGGTTGATCAATAAATACTTGTTCTTCCAAATCTCCATGTAAAAATGCAGACTTCACGTCCAACTGAAAGATAGGTCATGAATTTTGAGCTGCCAATGCAATCACTAATCGGATAGTGTCATTCCTTGCAACAGGAGCAAAAACTTCTTAGTAGTCGATGCCGAACTCTTGCTTATAGCCTTTAGCAACTAAACGAGCCTTGTATTTGTCAACTTTGCCATTTTCCTTCAGTTTCGTCTTATACACCCGCTTGACACCAAGGCTCTTTAGCCCATTTGAAAGCTCTGTCATCTCCCAAGTTTTGTTTCTTTTGACGACAGCAATCTCAGCATCCATTGTTTTTCGCCACTTCAATTCTGTAACAACATCTTCAAAGTTACAGGATCACAGTCTGAAAATAGAGCAAAATCAGTGAGTGGATCATCACCTTGGTCATCTCCAGTTACCTCATAATTAGTCATCCATGCTGGTCTTCTTCGAACACGTTTAGGCGTTTGTGATTCAGCTGCAAGTGGGCTTTGGAACATTTTAAGTGACTTCCTCTTCTTGCACATTCTCCATTGGCTGTTGCTGTTTCTCATCATCATCAAAATCTGTTGGAATATTTTCTAAAAACACCATTTTGTTTCCATGACCAAGTGCCTTTTTCATCAAATACCACATCACGGCTGATGATAATTCTCTTGGTGATAGGATTGTACAATTTGTACGCTTTTGATTGCTCACTAATACCAAGAAAAATGCATTTTTCTCCTTTGTCCTCGAGCTTCCTTCTTTTCTGATCCGGAACGTGTGCATGTGCTATGCAACCAAAAATTCTGAAGTGTTCGGCGCTTGGTCTTCGTCCATTCCACGCTTCTTCAGGGGTCATGTTTTGAACCACAAGAGTAGGACTTCTGTTTTGTGCATGAATGCTCCAATTGATAGCTTTTGGCCAAAAACTTCTCGAAATTCCGCAACTTGCCAAAATGGACCGTACCATATTCATGGTTGTACGATTCTCTCTCTAAAATGCCATTTTGTTGAGGTGAGTAAGCTGCTGTAAGCTGCTTCTGAATTCCATGCTTCTCACAAAAATTGACAAATTCTTGTGAGGTGTATTCTCCATCACGATCACTGCGAAAAATCCTTATAGGCATGCCCGCTTCTTTTTCGACAAGGGCTTTAAAGTTTTTGAAAGCCAAAATTGCTTCAGACTTCTCCTACAAAAAATAAACCTAAGTTTTCCAACTATAATCATCAGTGAACGTTATAAAATAACGTTTTTCGCAATTCGATGTCGGATTAAGGGGCTCGCATATATCTAAATGAACTAGCTCCAACACCTTCTTCGCTCTCCATGATTTTCCTTTAGGAAAATTATCTCGAAGTTGTTTGCCGACAACACATTCTTCACAGACTTGTGAAGGATTTTGAATTTGAGGAAGACCCGTTACCATGTTCTTTTTTTGCAGCGTTTTTACACCACCAAAGTTTTGATGTCCATAACGAAATGCCACAGTCATGCCTCGTCCTGCAATCTTGCAGAAAAACACATCTATGTAGAATTGTTGAGGTAGAGTGGGAACATCCAATTTGTTGTCATGCTGACTTGAACAATTAAGCCCAACTTTTCATCTTGTATGCGACAAACTCCATCTTTAATAGAAATCTCATATCCCTTCTCTTGAAGCTGTCCAACACTAAGCAGATTCGTTTTCAAATCTGGCACAAAGAAAACATTGGAAATAATCTGCGCGGTGTTTCCTTTAGTGCATATTTTGACACTTTCTTCCTTATGACAGAAACTGTAGAGATGTCACCAAATGAGACAGTGTTCTAAAATGATTCATCCAAGTCTAAGAACATCATCTTATCTCCACACATATGGTTGCTGCAGTCAGTGTCTAAATCCACATGTTTTAGTGGATTTCTTCCTTCACATGACATGCCATCAAGAGAGAAACATCTTCTTCTTTTTCTGCAAAATGTGATCATTCACCATGTTGCAAATTCAAATTAGTTCGACATTCTAATTTATAATGGCCATACCTGTGACATCTAAAGCATTCAATCTTTGACTTGTCTATAGACTTTGGATTATAACCATTTGAATGGTTCCAGTCACGGCCTCTCTCTTTGACTTTGAAACCAGCAGCATGATCTTCTCCAGAATTGTGGTGTCCATTTTTGTCCTTCCATCTCCCATTTCCTCGATCAGTACCTTTCGGAATGGTTGTAGCCTTCAAAGCTTGTTCGTTTTTTTCCTTTTTATCTTGCTGGATAATCTTTTGCTGATAAACCAGTAAAGAGCTCTACAATTTATCAATTGAAAGTGTATCAATATCTTTCGATTCTTCTATAGAGCAGACAACAAAATTAAATTTTGATGTCATCGAAGAATCTTCTCAATAATGGTGACATCCTCCATTTTCTCTCCGTGGATCCTCATCTTGTTGGCAATCATCATCGTTCTCGATAAGTAGTCGGTAACTGACTCGCCAGTCTTCATCCGTAAATTTTCGAATGCGGTCCAAAGTCCTTGTAGTTGTACACGTTTTGCCTTTGCGTTACCTTGGTGCTTCTTCTTCATTGAGTCCTAGACCTGCTTGGAGGTGTCTTTACAAAGACTTGTCTCCAAGATTGCTCGATCAATGGCTTGGAAGAGGTAGTTCTTGGCCTTGAGATCCTTCAGCTTCAGTGCTTCCAATTCTGCTTTCTGCATATATGTCAATGTAACTCCATCCTCTGGTTTTGCTATTCCAGATTCAACAACATGCCAATACTCCTTGGACATCAAGAAGTTCTCCATTAGCATGCTCCAATGGTCATAATGTCCATCAAAACGAGGAATTGTAGGCTGCACAAAAATTGCTTCTGATGCCAATTAATTTGCTACGGCAAAACAGAGAAACAAGTGTATTGAAAAAACTATAGCTGCACATTTTATCTCACTTTTTCTCTCCCCTAGCCTTTTGTTTTAGCACTCAGTAGTTCTAGGCTCTGATACCAAATGTTGGAAAAATGAAATGATAAAGACAAAGCAATAACTCAATAAAAGTTGAAGAAAGAAACTGAATTCTGAGACATTTTATTCATTAATCAAGGAGCCTTTTATAGGCAGAATACCAATAGATAAAAGCAAAGAAATAGGAACCGCTAGACCACTACTTCGACAGCTAAATGAAAATACACAACGTTTAAAAAACAAACCCTGATATATAAACTAGCAAAGCACTACTGCACTAAAAAATAAATTCCTATAGACTCGGACAATAATCAATAGACTTTATTAAATAAACATAGACTCGGTCAAACAAGACCACATGACACAACATTGAAAATATTATTAATAATCAAGACACTTCGAGTCCTACTTAGTGCAGGAGAAATTCAAGTCTAGTATAAAATTAAATTAATGAAAAAAAAAATTTGATATTTAATTCCTTAAATGTACCAAAAATTAAAATATGACCTTTGTAGGCTTGTAAAGAACATAGCACATAAAAAACGTAAAAGAGTGGTTAAAGAATAGTCTGGATTCATTGACATGTGAAATAGACCACGTTGAAGATCACTTATGGTATCACCCAATCTCAGAGATTCTTGGTTGACATAGTATATTTCTAATACATGAGATTGTTTGATGAGTTATCTCGAGCTAATAACATCGAGGGTCCAGTTGGAATAATTTTTGAGGAGGAAAAAAGAACTTTTGAAACACAAAAAGTTAGCTCCGTTTGATTCATTTTTAGAAAAAGTGTTTTTACTAGTCAGAAGAGTTTTTAAAAAAAATTGATCCGATCTGAAATGAGTTTTACTAAAAATTCTTTCGATAGAGAAAACTCTTGAAAATTATTCTTCAAACACTAACTAAGGTCGTTTCTTTTTTTCTACGAAAAGTAGAAGTCCTATATGAAAAGATCAATACATAATATCGAATCTGGGTTTACGTATTACATGAATATTGTCCCTTTTTCAACTAGTCCTTTTTTTTTAGAGGAAAGAATATGGACAAACAATAAAAATCATATAATTAATTGGATTAAATAATTGAGAAGGTAAGTTGGTTCCTGATGAGGACATAAAAATTTAGAGATGTAAAATGAAATGACCGAAGTCATTGGAACAGATAATGCAATCCATCCTGATATTGGAGAATTAATCCATCTCTTCTCTATCACAGAACACTTCAATTGTATAGTAAAATAGACACGGTTTTAACTTCTTTTCCTGGTGGGAACCTTTGATCCAATAAAAAAGGAATTATTGGTGGATTAATCACCATGGAGGAGGCTTCCTTTGGGGAAGGAGTAAAAGTCATGTGGGAACCTGGGAATCAACAAGGGCACATCCTGCGATTTATCTCCCTGAGCAGCTGAGGGGCCGGAAGTTCAGGGACGAGGATATATAGTCTGGCGCAAGCTGGGACACCTCGTTAAAAAAAAAAAAAAAAAATTCTATCAGAAGAATATTTTTCAAAAGTAGACTTCACAAAATCATAAAGGGCATGAAAATCAGAGCCAAGTGCATGTGAAATATCTGACAACTATATAATATTCAGTCCTTAGCAACTATGCAGCGTACATTAGACAAGTTTTTTTTCGATCTTACAACATAAAAATCGATAAACATACCAGAAACCAAAATTCGGCCAAACATAGATATAATGAGAAAATCGCTAAAAAACCGTTCAACATTTTGAATATCTCTATCAACTTGTCCCTCTTTGAAGAAAGACGAAGCAAAAAGTAACTCGGAAATGTGC